GAGTTTTTTCGTGTTCCAATGCATCCGCCAACTTCTTTTCAGCAACCGTCAACTTATTACGCAGATTCTCTTCTTCTGCTTTCATACCTTCCAAATTCTGAAACATTCACAAATGTTCAAATCATAAAACAAATTTCTTTGCGTATTATCCATCAATTATTTGTTGTTACTTTGACATCGAGTGCTTGTTTTGTGTGTAAATCGCTGTGAGGAGCGATCAGCGGAATATCTGTTTTATTACGGTTATGATAACGATGAATTTCATAACTAAACGTCTAATAAGGATGAGCTTGAGCGCAGATAAACTCATCATTGAACTCACTGTGAAGGCAAAACTTCAAAATCTTCAGGCCCCTTCTGACCCCTTTGAAGTGTCCCTTCTGGTTGATTTGAGGCCATTTTGGGGGTTAAAATTGCAGCTTCTAGGCGCCGTTTTCGAGCCCAGCCCGCTGCAACCGAGGAGGCGAACAGCTGACTGACTGACTGACCTGATTGAATTGATCTCTTTCATCATCCAGTTCGTTTTGATACTTCGCTTCCAAATTCGTTAGCTCCGCTTTGAGCCTGTCCAACTCCAACTGATTGTTCACTTTCATCTCATCGAGTTCTCGCTCTTGACTCTCCANGAGATCAAGTGATGCGTCTGCTTGCTCTGGCTAACTTCACATTGTCACTTTGCTCCCTCCAGCTCTATGCCCTGTTTTTAACATATCCCCTCTTGGATACGGCAGGTTTCTCAGAGAGCGAATCGCAGACGAAGTATTACAAGTAAAACAATAATTATTTAATCCATCCCGGAGATCAAGCAATATCTCAGATCCACTCAACGCTTAATTTCCTGAACAATGCTTTCTTCTTGGATATAATTCACTCAATATGGAATGGAAGTAAATGTGTTCAGTATATTGCAAATTCTGAGATTCTCTTTCTGAAAAACGGCAGCTATCATAATTCTGTTCACGTAGGCAACACGATCCACTCCTCAGTTTGTTACGAATTCAGTTTAAGCAACATCACTTTAAAAGGTACAAACGGGATTGAAACTTGATATAGGGCTTTTGGAAGTCTAATCTTATCTTATTCGACACTTGTGTTAGCCTATTGGCTCGTAAAGCCTGCCGAAATGAAAACCCCAATGCTATAGTCAAGTCACAAGTAGTCGTATTGACTTCTTACTGCGATGAATAAAAGATTTGGATCGACATTCAAGGTTTTTGACGGATCAAATTTCTAAATCCACTTCGAGAACTTACCCGCTCATTCTCGACCTTTTCAACTTCCAATTTGTATTTATCACCAGCTTCCTTC